TCAGTTCCTCCCTACCTTTCCATTTCCTGATTATCATGGCTTCTGGGATGTTAATTAGAGTCATGGAGTCATAGACACCTACAGCACAGAAAACTTCAGCCCAATGTGGTTGTGCCAGTCAAAAACCACCACCTAACTATTCTAATCTCATTTTCCAAGCACTTGGATCATAGCTTTGTGTGACTTGGCATCTTAAGTGCACATCTAAATACTTCTTAAATGTTATGAGGGTTTCAGCCTCGGCTCTACTTACAGGCAGCGAGTTACAGATTCACCTTTGAGTCAAAAGGTTTTCCTCACATCTCCTCCAAATCTTCTGCGTCTCAGCTTAAATCTATGTCCCCTAGTCATCGATCACTCAATCAAGGGTAAAAGTTTCTTCTGTCTATGCCCCTCATAATTTTATACATCTCAATTATGTCACCTCTCAATCTCCTCTGCTGTAAGTAAATCTTAATCTTAATCTTAACATAGACTGGGAGGGACAGAAAAACACCCGCCAGAAAGGTTCTGAATTTTGACAATGTGTGCAGGATAAGTTCCTATGGCAGTATGTTTTGGATGTGACAAGGGGGCAAGCAAATCAGATCGAAATGATCGATGAGCCTGATTTAATTAGTGAGCTGGTTGTTCGTGAGCATTTTCATAGACTTGTAGATATTAATAGAATCATAGAATATCTACAGTGTGGAAATAGGCCATTCAGCCCATCGAGACCATACTGACCCTTTGGAGAGCATCCCACCCAGACCCATCCCCCTACCCTTGTAATGCTGCATCTCCCATAGCTAACACTTGCACATCCTCAGACAGTATGGGCAATTTACCATGGCTAATTCACCTAAATCTTCACATGTTTGAACTGTGTGAGGTAACCAGAGCACCCGGTGGTAACCCACACATATAGGCGAGAATGTGCAAACTCCACACAGACAGTTGCTCAAGGCTGGACTCGAACCTGGGCCCCTGGTGTTGTGAGGCAGCAGTGTTAACCAATGAACTACCATTCCACCTGTTTGTTAAATGATTGTGTTTCATTTAGCACTTATAAGAGATATAAGAATACCAGAATTTTGGACTTAAGTAAGGCAGACTTTTCTGGGATGAGGCAGAGATTGTTCGCAGTGATTAGGAAGCTCTGCTAATAGATGAAACAACCAAACAGATCAGGGTACTTTTTTAGAAGGCAAAAAGCTAAATATAAAGGATCTCCAATGAGATTTGGGGATCAGGTGCACAGCTCTTTAAAATACTGCAAACAGCTGCAGAAAATAGTCAAGGCGGCTAATGGAATGCTCCACCACCGACACTCAGCAGCCGCAGTGTGCAGTATCGATAAGATGCACTGCAGAAATTCACCAAATATCCAATCACATGACCACTTCCATCTAGAAAGACAAGGGCAGCAGATACACGGGAATACCACCACTTTCAAGTTCCCCTCCAAGCCATCGACCATCCTGACTTGGAAATATACCACCGATCCTTCACTGTCACTGGGTCAAAATCCTGGAATTCCCTCCCTAATGGCACTGTGAGTCAACCCAAAGCATGCAGACTGCAGTGGTTCAAGAAGGCAGCTCACTACCATCTTCTCAAGGGCAACTAGGGACAGGCAATAAATGCTGGCCAGCCAGTGATGCCCACATCCCACAAAAATGAATTAAAAAAAGGGCTGGAATATAGAGATTCAGTTATACAAATTCTACTTAGATCCCGCTTAGAGCACGGTGAGCAGATCTGGGCTGTTTTGGCCCTGCAGGGAATTCAACTCAAGTTTATAAGGATGATACGTGGACTTCTGGGGTTAAGTCATGAGTAGAGACGAGACAAATTAGGTCCTTAGTCTTTTGAATTTAAAAGGTTAACATGACTTAATCAAGGTATTTAAGATATTAACAAGGAAAGAAAGCATAGATAAAGATAAGATTCTAAAAGCAGGGGTCGAGTCTAATAATTAAGGCCAGGCCATTCGGGGAGGTGTTAGAAAGCACTACTACAGACAAATATTGTCGAGGCTTGGAACCCCCAAATGACAGTCAATGCTAATTAATTTGTTAAATTTAAATCTGAGATAGACAACACTTTGTTAATCCAGGATATCAAGGGATAAGAGCCCCAGGCAGGCATATGGAGTTAGGTCATTTTTAGGATCTTTTTGAATGACAGAGCAGACTTGAGGGGCTGAATGGCCTACTTCCGTTCCTATGTTCTTATGAAAACAATCCCAGTTTGTCCAATCTCTCTTCACAACTGAAACTCTCCAGCCCAGGCAACATTCTGCTATATCTCTTCTACATCCTCTCCAGTGCTTTCACATCCCTCCTGTAATGTGGATTCTAGAACTGCGCACAATACTCTATAGCTGTGGCCTAATCAATGTTACGTACAGTTTCAGCATAACTTCCCTGCTCATAAAGTCATTGCGTCAATTAATAAAGGTTAGTGTGCTTCCTGAACCAATTTATCCACCTGTTTCTGATACCTTAGGGACCATTGAACATGCACACCAAGGTCCCTCTGATCTTTGGAGCTTGCCAGGGTCCCACCTTTCATCATGTGTTCCCTTGCCTTGTTTGTCCTGCCTAAATATATCACCTCATATTTACTGATCAACATACCTACATTCAAATCTAAATCATTTATATAAACCATAAACAGCAGAGCTCCAACACTGACCCCACTGGCACCCCACTGGACACAGACTTCCAGTTCAAAAAACATGCACCATCACTCTCTGCTTTTTGGTTCACAGCCAATTGTGCATCCAATTTGCCAAATTTCCTTGGATCGCTTGTACTCTTACTTTTGCTATCAGTCTCCCATGTGGGATCTTATCAAAAGTCTTGCTTAAGTCTAATTAGACTACATCAGAAGCATTGCCCTCATTTACACAAATGTGGAGTACGTGGCCACCTCTTCGAGAAATTGGATCATGTTGGTCAGACATGACCTCCCCTTAATATATGTCATTTCCTTCCATTATTAATTCCCCAACTCACTTTCCTAGGAATATAGAAAGTAGAAACAGGAGTGGGCTGTTTAGTCTTTAAGCTTAGAATTGTAGAATTACTGCAGTATGGAAGCAGGCCATTTGACCTATCAAATCCACTCCGATCCTCCAAAGAGCATGCCACCACCAACCCACCCCCCTTCCCCCAGTAACCCTGCATATCCCATGGCTAATCAATCTAACCTACACATCTCTGGACATTATGGACAATTTAGCATAGCCAATCCACCTAACCTGCACATCTTTGGACTGTGGGAAGAAACCGGAGCAGACACAGGGAGAATGTGCAAACTCCACTCAGTCACCCAAGAATAGAATCCTGCACACTGTGAGGCAGCAGTGCTATCCACTGAGCCACCGTGCCAACCTGCTTGCCCTTCCATTCAATATGATCAATGTTCACTTTGTTAACTTTTTTCTTTTTTTAAGAATCTAGAGAAATTCCTGATTTTTAAAAAATTTTACAGTTATCTTTCTATCATACTCCAACTTTTGACTCCTTATTAACCTTGGCGTCATATTTTTGCTGTGTTATACATTCAGCCAAATTTCCAGACACTAAAATAGGTGGAAAGACAGGTTGTGAGAGAGATACAGTTTGCAGAGAGATTAAGTTACAGACAGTTTAACTAAGGGGGCAAAAAGTTGGAAAATGGAATATAATGTAGGAAGTTGTTCATTTTGGAAGGTAGGACCAAAGAACAGAATATTATTTAAATGGACTAAAACTGCAGAAAGCTGCAACACAAAGGGACTCTGAAGTACTTGTGCATAAAACACATAAAGTTAGCATATGGGTGCAGCGGGTAATCAGCAAAGCTAAAGGAATACTGGCTCTTATTTCAAGTGTTTGATTTATAAGAATACTGTACAAGGTGCTGATGACACCACATCTGAAGTACTGTGAGCAGCTTTGGTCCCTTTATTTAAGGAAAGATATCATTTCATTGGTGGTATTTCAGAGAAGGTTCACTGAGATGATTCCTGGTATGGAGGGATAGTCTTATAAGCAAAGGCTAAACAGGTCAGTACTCTACTCATTGGAGTTTAGAAGAATGAAAGGTGAGTTCACTGAAACAAATAGGATTCTTAAGGGGCTTGATGGGAAACTGCTGAGAGATGTTTCTCCTCATGGGAGGGTCTAGAACCAGTGGGCATAGTCTCAGAATAAAGAGACACCAATTTAAGACTGAGATGAGAAGGAATTTCTTCTCTCAGTGGGTTGTCAGTCTTTGGAACTCGTCCTACAGAGAGCTGTGGGGCAGAGTCCTGTATAGTTAAGGCTGATAACGATAGATTCTTGATCAGGAGGGGAATCAAGGGTTTTGGGGAAAGGGCAGAAAAGTGAGAATGTCAGAGCAGGCTCAAGGGGCAAAACAGCCTATTCCTGTTCCTGAGATAGCAAGAACTGCAGATGCTGGAGTCAGATAATTCAGAGATAAAAAGAAATTTCTGAAGAAGGGTCCCGACCCAAAACATCAGCTTTCCTGTTCCTCCGATGCTGCCTGGCTGCTGTGTTCCTCCATTATGTGGTCATAATGTTCCTCAGATTTTTTAATTAACCCTCTTCCATTGCAAAATACCAGGCCCCACATAGTCTTTTCTCTGGTTGGTGCTAGAGAATGCTGCTCTTAGAAACTCTCTTCAAAACGTTCTATGAACTCCTCAGCTATGCTACCTTTAACTCGTCTTAGTTTTCAGTCTACACGCTGATTATTTCCCTCATGATTAACACTATACTTTTCTGAGCAACTCCTATTATTTCTTTATTTATATTTTGACCTACCATGCGGTTACACTTAAGGTGTCTGTACACTTCCCTTTCGCGAAGAAACTTGTACAGATTTTTTTTGGGTTGAATGACCTACTTGAACATATGACCAATGATTGGGAAACGGATGGAAGAATTCAGAACGCTCCGCTTGGATCAGCACAGTATCTCCGCTAGGAAGGCAATACTGCGCAGATGCGGATCAGTTCGTTTCCCAAAGGCAGCCGGTCTGAGCGGAGCAGGCGTGGTGTTGCTCCAGGAAGCTAAGCGCACCATCAATGACGCTGACTGTTAGCGGTTCCGAGAGGTCCAGGTATCGGAGGACCACCGTCCAGAGCCTAGGGGGTTAGGGGCGGCACAATTGAAGCCGATGGTAATTGCAGACTAAAGGTCAGTGAGCCGAAGCGCTGAGTTGAACAGTTTGTAACTGTAGTCCTGTGCTGCAGTTTGTCTCCTTTTCCTCTCAGCAGCATCTACTTTAGGCATAGGCTTTTTTTTGTTCTTGCCCCCATCTCCTTTCCGCTTGGCTCTGGATGGCTAACTTTTCTGTCACTCAATCTTCCCTTTCTTCCATCCTACAATAGACCTTTTATGTCCCACCGAACCTTTACTCAAATCCTATTAATATAATAACATTTCCCAGTTCTGATGAAAGCTCACTAAGCTGAAATGCTTTCTCAGTCATGTCGTACAGCATAGAAACAGGCCCTTTGGCCCATTATGTCAATACTGATCAACAAACACTAAACTACATTAAAAACCAAAAGAACTGTGGATGCTGTAAATCAGGAACAAAAGCAAAAACAAAGTTGCTGAAAAAGCTCAGCAGGTCTGGCAGCATCTGCGAAGGAGAAAACAGAGTTAATGTTTCGGGTCTGGTGACCCTTCCTCAGAAGTTCTGAGGAAGGGTCACCAGACACTAAACTACATTAATTCTATTTACTTGCACATGGTCTGTAGCCTACTATGCCCTGGCATTTTAAGTGCTGCAAGAGTATCTGCCTCCACTACGCTCTCAGGAAGTACGTTACATATTTCTACCACTCTCTGAGTGAAGACATTTTTTTTCCTCAGATTCTCCTCTAAACCACTAATTCCTCACCTTAAACTTATGCCCTTTTGTCTTAGATATGTCTTCAATGGGAAAAAAATTTTCACAACCTACCATGTCTATGTCTGTCATAATTTTGTATATTTTTATCAGATCCCTCCTCTGCTTCAAGGAAACAAAACAGGCCTTCTAGTCTCAGCTCATAACTGGGATTTTCCTTCCTAGGCAACATCTTGGTGAAAATCCTGTGCACCCTCTCCAGTGCAATCACATGCTTCTGATATTGTGATAATGATAACTGTACACAGTATTCCATCTGTGGCCTAACCAATGTTTTATGAAGGTGTAACTAAACTCCCTTGCTCCTAAGTTCTATGCCCTGGCTTATGTAGGCATTCCATATGCTGCCTTCATTACTGTGTCTGCCTGTGTTTCGCTCTCCATGCAAATGCTGCCAGGACTTATAGAATCATATAGCATGGAACAGACCCTTTGGTCCAACCAGTCCATGCTGACCATTATCCCAAACTACACTAGTTCCACCTGCCTGCATTTGGCCCATATCGCTCCAATCCTTTCCTATCTAAATGTCTTTTAAATGTTATAACTATAACTGCATCCATCACCTCCTCTGGAATTTCATTCCACACACAATCTACACCGTGTTAAAATAAAATTGCTTGCCTCTCATGTCTTTTTTAAAATCTTTCTCCTCTCACCTTAAAAATATATCCTCCAGTCTTGAAATCCCTCACCTGAAGGAAAAGACACCTGTCATTCACCTTATCCACACCCTTCATTATTTTATAGTCTTCTACAAGGCCACCCCTCAACATCCTATGCTCCAGTGAAAGAAGTCCCAGCCTATCCAGCCTCTCCTTATAACTCAAACCCTTCATTCCCAGCAACATCCTGGTAAATCTGTTCTGAACCTTCTCTAGCTTAATGATATCCTTCTTGTAAATGTTTACCAAAACTGGACACAGTACTCCAGAAGAGTACTCACTAATGTCCTGTACAACTTCAACATAACATCCCAACTCCTATATTCAACCTTCTCATCAGACAGATCAAATTTATGCATTGTTCTGTGAATAGATCCTTTGCCAGAGATATTACACACCAGCAAAGCACAGCTATGCTAGCAACGCTATTGAGACATTTAACAGCATGACACAGAATTGCTGAGAGTTTTTTTTTAAAAAAACATTATATTCTGAGGTTGTAGACTTGCTCACCGAGCTGGTGTGTTTGATTACAGACGTTTCTTCTTATTAAGGATACACGAATGCCAACTAATCACCAAAAGACACAACCAATTCTCACTGGTTTCAATACACACGGACAAAGAAGGACACAAATTTGACTGGGACAACACATCCATAATAGCACAAGCCAAACAGAGGCATGCCAGGGACTTCCTGGAGGCCTGGCATTCTAACCAGAACTCCATCAACAAACACATTGAACTGGAGCCAATATACAAACCACTGAAAAACAGAACTGGAAGTGATGCCAACTACCCCAGCAAACTGAGGCATATAAATAACAAGTGGGACAGAACACCAACCCTTCACTGATGATGTTACCTAGCACGGTGACGAAATGTCTGCAATCAAACACACTGCTCGCTGAGCAAGTCTACAACCTCATCCACAACGCGGGCTACAAATCTTCTCAAAAACTTTAAACATTATATTCTGTTTTGTTTCTGATCTCCAGCATTCATAACATTCTGCTTCTTACTGCGTGCAGAAATTAACCTAACCAAAACCAGTTCCTTCAGAAAAGAGGGAGAGAGAGAGACAGCAGCATCTTCAGGACACAGACAGAGGAAATGGCGAGTGCAGAACTGAACACAACTTGACTCAGCACATTCAGGAGATAGAAAGAGAAACCAGCCAGAGTCTAGCTGAAAAGTTGACCAAAATGAAAATAGTTGAAGATGATGCAATGGATTTGAGTTTCTGGACAGGGAGGTGGGAAAGAGTGTAGGACATCAATTTACAGATTTTGGGGAGCAAGAGAGGAAAGAATTTTGCATCAAAATTAAAATTGTCTTCTGACTTTCTGTTCTATCCTGAGTGATGATTTGTAAACTCCTTTTAAAGGGTTTTCAAAGGGGAGAATTTGCAGAGAGAAAACTCCAATCAAACGACATGTCAAGAGCTGACAGTCATTTCATTCTTGACAATCCGAATATCATGACATTTGAATGTGGAATCAGAAATATTTGTCTGTTCAGTGAGAAATGATGTTGCACATCAGTCTAACTGGAAAAAACAGAGACATACATACTCCAGAGTGAGTGTTTCAGTGTGCTGTGAAAGAAGCTTTGCCCAGTTACACAGCCTTAACAAACACTGCACCATTCACATTGGAAGAAACTATACCTGTGTGGACAAGGCTTCAACTGATCATCCAACCTGGAGAGACACCAGGATGTCCATGCCATGGAGAAACCATGGAAATGTGGGGACTGCGGGAAGGGATTTGATTACCGGTCTCGGCTAGAAATTCATCAACGCAATCACACTGGGGAGAAACCATGGAAATGTGGGGACTGTGGGAAGGGATTCAATTTTCAGTCCTTGCTAGAAATTCATCGACGCAGTCACACTGGGGAGAAACCATGGAAATGTGGGGACTGTGGGAAGGGATTCAATTACCAATCCCTATTGGAAACCCATCATGACAGTCACACTGGGGAGAGGCCCTTAACCTGCTCTGAGTGTGGGAAAGGATTCACTGATTCATCTCAGCTGCTGATTCACCAGCGAGTTCATACGGAGGAGAGGCCCTTCAGCTGCACTGACTGTGGAAAGAGGTTTAGGCATTTGGGCACCCGCACAGTACATCAGCGAGTACACACAGGGGAGAGGCCATTCAGCTGCATTTACTGTGGAAAGGGCTTTAGACAGTCAAGCTCCCTCACTGTCCATCAACGAGTTCATCAACTGGGAAGAAGCCATTCACCTGCTCCAAATGTGAGAAAGAATTCACTCAGTTATCACACCTACTGACACACCAGCGAGTTCACACTGAGGAGAAACTGTTCCACTGTACTTACTGTGGGAAGGGGTTTAAGCATTCAGGCACCCTCACTGGACACCAGAGGGTTCACACTGGAGAGAGGCCATTTATCTGCTGTGTGTGTGGGAAGGGATTCACTCATGCTTCTGATCTGCGGAGACACCAGCATGTTCACACTGGGGAGAGACCCTTCACCTGTTATGTGTGTAGGAAAAGATTCACTGACTCATCTGCCTTAATGAAACACCCGCGTGTTCATACTGGGGAGAGGCCATTCACTTGCTCAGAATGTGGTAAGGGATTCACGGATTCTTCATCCCTATTGACACACCACCGAATTCACACTGAGGAAAAACCATTCCGCTGCACTTACTGTGGAAAGGGGTTCAGGCATTCATGCACCCTCATTGTACACCAGCGAATTCACACTGGGAGAGTCCATTCACCGGCTCAGAGTGTGGAAATGGATTCACTGATTCATTCCAACAACTGAGTTTGGATTTTGAAATAGTGGCATCTGGGTCTATAATGGGGTTTAATAATTAATTTGTCAATCTTTCTGGAGACATGATTCTTAAATCATTATGTGAGACTGTCCTGTTCTTCGAGTTATAATAGGAATTTGTATTGTGAGAGTTTTACGATAGGACAGAGCAAATATTGAAAAGTATTAGCTTGCTTTTGGTTTAGAAAATTCAAAATTGATTTTTTTTTGCTTAGGTGAAGATCCCATAAATTGGGAAATGTTTGGTTTCAGTTTGTAGAAGACCTGTCTGACTTTAGATGGAGAAACAGTTTCTCTTGGAGAAAGTGCAAATTCAGAACAATTGGGAAATAGATTACCTCAGAATAAGTTTGAACATTCCAGATCAGAATAATTTGGTTTGAACCCTGAAGAGCATTTGAAGCTAAGAAGGTCTAAGCTCCGTAAGTTAATTAAAGAAAAGTTTATCAAACTCTCAAGACCAGAAACTGAAAAAACCAGTTAAGTCAAATCTATAGATATGTTGGAGAAGAGAACTCATGTCTGGTATTTGAGTATTATAAAGCAGTGATGTTGACTTAGATGCAATTTTATTGTACTGCGTTTTGAAATTTTTCAAATTGTATTTAAATATCTTTTTATCTTCATTTTTTTGCATAATAGACTACTTTATTGTTAAAACCAAATCTGCAGCATTCTGTGTTAGTGTTTCAGTATTAGACCACCTTGTTAAATAAAAACAAAATATGATTCATCAAGCCAGATTTCAGCGTGGGACTGCATCTGTATTAACATCATTTGAGATCATTGTATGTGGAGAAGTTCCTAAGTGAAGTTAGGAGTATAAATTTGCATGGACATAGTACAGGAAACAACTGATAGTCAGACAGAGAAAATAGCTGCACTGGGAATGAAACATCATCTGGAGTTCATAGAAGACTGAGACCAGGATTATGAGTGTATCTTTAGTAGGCAGTTGGAGAGATTCAGGAAAGCAAAGTTTAGCTGAACTAGGTGCAGAATCAGCTAGGAAACATTCCCAAGATGGATGCAAGGGAACAGAGAGCTGGAGACTCTTGAAAGTCCATGTGTGAACTTCTGTTTTAACCATCTATATTTACAACAGGTCAATAGTTTATAATTCTGTGAGTGATCTGCAACTAGAAGGATGTATCTGTCAATAGTTATCATATTTTACCAGAAAGATTTTGAGATGTAGTCTTAGAGGTTTGTTTTATTGATTCTGTTTGATCTATTGTTTTAGTATGTTATCCACAGTGTGTAATCAAGACATTAAGAAAAACTCCTGGCTTAGAAATAGATAGGTGAGTCAGAAATCAGGTTTGAGAAGTGTGACATAGGTGTGTAATTTATTTACATTAATATAACTCAGAATATGAATTTCAAAATTGTAATATATCCATGTTGGTTGCATTAGAGGAAGAAAGGAGATTTTCAGAGCAGTTATCTGATGAGTTCTCTCAATAGAAGTTTTTAGTTTGTGCAATTTCTAGACCAGGAGAGTTTGATTAGATATCTGCAAGTTGTTAGAAGCTGAGAAAGTCTAACGTCCGAGTGAGAGTATTTAGATATGAAGATTCCACTGTTTGCAGAAGAGAGACTGGAGAGAATCAGTTCAATTGAACTTTGAAGATTTGATATAGAGTGTCATTTGAAATGCTGTAAAGTGATGCTGTGGAAGAACATGTTGAAACTTTGTTTTCCTGGGTGTTCTAAGATTTTTAAAAGTGTTTTTTCATAGAATCCCTAGTGAGAAAACAGGCCATTCGGCCCAACAGGTCCACATTGCCTCTCCGAAGAGCATCCCACCCTGACTCATTCCCCTACCCCTGTATTTCCCCATGTCTAACCCAAACATCTCTGGACGCTACAGGCAATCTAGCATGGCCAATCCACCTAGCCCGCACATCTTTGGACTGTGGGAGGAAACTGGAGCACCCGGAGGAAACCCACGCAGACACGGGGAGAATGTGCAAACTCCACACAGACGGTTGCCCGAGGCTGGAATTGAACCCGGGTCCCTGGTGCTGTGAGGCAGCAGTGCTAACCACTGAGCCACCATGCCGGTGATTTTGAATCTCTAGATATCTTGGTTTGTGACTTTTTTTGTTTTTGCTTTTCTGTAATAAACTTTTCTTCTATTGATAAATTCTATAGCCTTGTCAATGAATTACACTAGGTTAACTAAACAAAATAAATATCCATCAAATCTGGTTTCATTCTGGGATCTGACTTGCCCAGTAGAATCATCAGCTGGTATCATAAAATAAGTCAATAAGGACATTCCTTTCTCAAGGTTGGGAGATCTGTAAGAAATTAGCAATTGATGTTAAAAACTTTGAAGAGCTGTATTGAATAATACAGGAATAGCTCCCTTCTCTCACTCATGAAGAAAGTTTCTTGTGTTGACAAATACAGGACAGCGTAGGCCTGTTATTGATTCTAAGGACACGCTTCTTTCACAAACTCTGAAACTTAAGGTGGGGAAATCTCATGAACTAAAAGTAAATCTAAGTACAAGTTCAACAGAATCGCTTAGCAAGCGATGAGCCAGAAAATGACTTTATGGAATTCTGATGAAAATTGGTGGGATAGATTTGAGTAACTGATTTTAATGTATGTGTTTGAAATCAGCTCCACTCCTCTCCCTACAATATGTGTAGAGAGGGGGATGGACTGTTCACATGTGTGTGTTTAGTGGGTGAGAGGTACTGATTACAACATGTGTTTCTCTTTAAGTGGAGGAGCCAATGACAATGAGTGTATGTAGTGAGGGTAAGAGGCTGATTATAAAGCCTGCAAGTGCAGTGGGGGAGCAGGCTGTTACAATACGTGTTTGTGTATAGATGGCGGAGAGGGGGCTGATGTGTATGTGGAGGCGGGGGAGGGGTGGTGTGGTGGGGTGGTGGGGGGCGGTAGTGGCAAAAGAGGGACCGACTACATTGTGAGAGCAATGGGAGTGAATGGTTGATTACAATGTATATTCTTGTCAAGAACAAGCTTCTCAGTTGTGTGGACATCATCTATAGGAGAGATGGAAAACTTTTCAACCTCAACCAGTTGAAATCCAAGAAGGAAACGACGTCAACCTCAATCATGGAACTTCAGTGTTTGGAAGACTATTTCATCTCTGCTGTCTCGGAAGAGAATCTTCAAGCCTCATTTAATGCCTTTATGGAAGTACACCAAAGAAATTGTCTTAGTCTCAACCTCAAGAAAATTCAAGTGCTTTGCCAACCCAAACCAGGGCAAGTTCCAATGCATTCAGCCATTAAGATCAATGGAAAAATCCTCACAAATGTGGAAATTTCCACTACATGAGGATTCACCTTCCATCTAAGGCTGACATCGATAGGGAGATCCAACATCGCATCCAATCTGTGAGCACCACCATTGGATGCCTAAGGATAAGAATCTTCGACACCATGACATTTGTTCTGATACCACAATCCTTGTGTATAAAGCGGTCATGCTTATGTACAGAACTTTACTATTCACATCCCAGAGATCAGATTATGTTCCCTTTATCCTGACTCTCCATTTCACAGAGTCACTGAATTGTTAGTGCAAAAGGAAACCATTAAGCCTATTTTGTCTACACTGGCTCTTCAAACAAGCATCATTACTTAGTGCCAATCTCCTGCTTTATCCCCATATCCTTACACAATATTTCTGTCCTTCCTCTAAACTTCTGAGACCATTGGGTTTGCTCCACCATTTAACAAGATTGTGGTTGATGTGATTATCCTTAACTGCACTTTCCTGCCTTTTTCCCAATATCCCTTGATTCCCTTACTGATAAAAACTACCTACCTCAGTCTTGAATATACTTAACACCCAGCCTATACACTTGCTACAGGAAATGGTGGAGCCAGGTACAATTACAACATTTAAAAGGCATCTGGATGGATATAGGAATAGGAAGGGTTCAGAGGGGTACGAGCCAAACGCTAGCAAATGGGACTAGGCCAGACTGGGATGTCTGGTTGGCGCAGACCAGTTGGATTGAAGGGTCTGTTTCCATGCTGTATGACTCTATGACTGATCCTTCTGACTATTCTACATGACTCCGAAACTTGGACTACATGTAGATGCCACCTTAAGGCCCTTGAGAAGTATCATCAGTGCAGTTCGAGATTGATTGTCCGCATCAGCTGGGAGGACAGGCATATTAATATCAATGTCCTTAAAGGAGCCAATAGCACTAACATCAAGGTCACAATCACCTGAAACCAATTGCGCTGGGTTGAACATTGTGCTTAGGATGCCCGAGTTCTGATTACCAAAGCAAATCATCTTTGCCCAGCTCAAGGAAGGCACTCGAATGGGAGGAGGACAAAAGTGCTTCAAACACTCCCTGAAGGTTTCTCTCAAGAAATGCAACATGGATGCCAACTCATGTTCACACAGAAGAGACTGACTTGAAAGAATGTCCTGTGTCAAAGGTCACAATTATTTGAGAACACATTGGCAAGAAGTATTATGGAAAAGGAACAGGAGAAAGGAATTCTGAAGAAGGATCCCAACCCGGAATGTCAACTTTCCTGCTCCTCTGACGCTGCCTGTCCTGCTGTATTCCTCCAGCTCCATACTGTGTTGTCTCTGACTTCAGCATCTGCAGTTCTTGCTATCTCTGGAGAAAGGAATGCGAGTTATCTCAAAGCTAAGGACCAGTTCCAACTCACTGAAAACTCTATCAAACGTGTGCTAGGAGATGTGGCCCTATGATTGGGGTCATCACCCACATTGAGTGACAACAGAACCGATGACCAGTAACATGGAATTTCCTAGATGGACAATCATACTTGTTAGGAATTGATTGCCGACGGCAATGTGTGTAGTAGGGTGAGGGGGCTGATTACAATGTGTGCACTGGGGAGAGGAGCTGATTACAATGTATGTACTATTAAGATTCCAGCTGAATTTATCAATGAACGCATCAGATCCCAGATTAAAATCTGACATGATAGATCATGTTTTCTTATACACATCCAGGTTCAGCCAAGACTTCTAAAAACTACCAAACTAGAAACCAAAAGCTTTTTTCTAAGTTATGGGAGTTTCCTCTAATAAAAAAAAATTAAAAATCAATTTGTGACCTTCTAACTGAATGCCTAAACAACTATTTACATTGATCTCTCGAGCATAAGAAACAGAAGCACGAGCAGGCAATTCGGCCCTTCGAGTCCGCCCTGCCATTCAACAAGATTATGGCTGATCTGTCCTAGGCCTTAACCTCTTGAGTGTCAGCTCAGCATAGTTGTCAAATCCCTGACATTTCAAAGATCCGTCTACTTTCCTTTTAAATACTTCTGGTGGTCTAGAGGATTCTAGATATTCACTAGCCTCTGGGAGAAGTTCCCAACAATGTGGTTCACTCTTAACTATCAGTGACAGGCAATTATTGCTGGTCTAGCCAGCAAAGCCTACGTCCTGTTAATGAATAAGATCTCAGCTTTAAATGAGTGTTCCGTTATTTTGTAACTATGTCATCTAATTCAAGAACCCCCCCCCCCCCCCCACAACCCCCACATTATTGGAAACATCTTTGCAACATCAATCCCATCCAGCATCCTCAATTGTGTATGTTTCAATAAGATCGCTTCTCATTCTTCTAAACTCTAAAGAATAAAGACCTAACCTGTTAACTGTTCTTTGTAAGCTGACCCCTTCATTCCAGGACTCAGGCAAGTGAACTCTTTTGAACAGCTTCCAATGCCAGTGTATCCTTTATTTAAAGTACAGGGAACAAAACTGTGCACAGTACTCCATGTGCAGCCCCACTAACACCGTTACAGTCGTAACAAGACTTCCGTGTTTTTAAACTTCAACCCCCTAGAAAAAGAGGGCAAAATTCCATTTGTCTAATTAATTACTTATGCATATGCATGTTAACTTTTTGTGCTTCATGCTCAAGAGCACCCAGGTTGCTCTGTGCTGCACTTTTTTGGAATATCTCCCCACTTAAATAATAGTGCCTTTTGATTCTTCCTACCAAAGCAAACTTTCCTAAAACTCCATCTGCCAAGTTTTGCTCACTCAATCATCTGATCAATATCGAAAATTCCTTATGTTCTCATACAACATGCTCTTCCACTCCCTCAGCACATCTGGATAGATTACACTCTACCCCCTCCTCTAAGTCATTTATTGAGGCCCTAGGTTTGGCACTCCACTACTTATGTCTTTGCAACCTAAAAATGACACAATAATTCCAACTCTCTGTCCTCCCTGGAAAAAAATCTAGGGTTCACTAAATACTTCAAAATGACACTGGCACTAGCATAGACAATAGCAAGTTAGAGGGTGAAGTCAGAATAAGGAAGACAACATTGAAGTCTAAGTCAGGACTACTTTGCAAGTATGTGATGCATATGAGAACACCACCACCTCCCAAGTTCCCCAGGAAGCCACTCACCATATTGACTTGGAAATATATCGCCCATCCTTCACTGTTGCTGGGTCAAAATCCTGGAATTCCCTCCCTAATGGCATTGCGAGTCAACCTACAGCTGGTGGAGTGCAGCGGTTCAAGAAGGCAGCCCACCAAAACCTTCTCAAAGGCAACTAGGGATGGGCAAGAAATGATGGCCAGCTAGCAACACCTACATCCCACAAATGAATAGAAAAAAAAATTTAGAAGCAAATGGACTATTAGCAATAAACAGCATGTTTTTGTGTGGGGGCGGTCATGCCTCACTAACTTGATCAAATTTTTTGAGGAGGTTATGAAAATGATTGATGAGGGAAAAGCGGTTGATGTTGTCTA